AACCTCTAATGTGTCCTGAGTCATTTACAGTAAAGCAAGTTTACAGTGGCCAGCAAGACGTACATGACCACCGATTTCATGCATTACTCCTCGTCACACTCTCTAGGTTCCTCATATTTATATCTAAACATGCCCGCCTTGCCTGTACTGTGCCCTGCAGTATCTCTTGGATACTGGCAAGGTCTCATCCCATCATGTGTCTCAGGTCTTTTTCAAGTAGTGTCATCTCAGAGAGGGCTTCTCAGACTACCCTTGATTAAATTAAACTTTTCTGATACTTCTTGTTCTTTCATGATTTTTCTTCTCAACAATTATTCTTATGATGATATAATTTACTTTTGTTTGCAGTTATTGTTTATTTTCCTTCTTAAAATGTAAGTTTCTAGATAGTAAAGTTTTTAGCTTTTTCCCCCTTCTGTTCTGCAATTCTGCTTCTAGAATTGTATCTAGCACACACTAGATACTCAGAACCTATTTGTTGGATAAAATGCTAGCTGTTAATTTTTTTCCCCAAGTAGAATGTTAGGTTGTAAAAAAATAATATGGATGAGCTTATAACCATACGACTTTAAGTTTGTTATGCATAATTTGCTTTTTAAAAATTTCATCAAATTGAATGTTTATGAATCAAATCATATTTAGAGTATACTAGCAACATTTCTATGTTGAAGAAGATGTGATTAATATTTTGTCAATCACTTTAATATTTTCTCCCTAGTCTAACACTTTCTAAATTACTTTTTTATGTCATATTCTTATGTCAAAATCCACTTATGCATAATATATAAAAACAATTCATCTTAATTCTAAAATAAGTTAGCGAGAAATTTAATGAAATCTCTGAAAGATATACTTATCCAATTCTATATTCTATTCTCTTGAAGTGTTTAAGTGTTTTTTTTTTTTTTTAATTCCAAGAACACTAGGTTGGGTGAGTTGTCTTGTCCCATACTTCCTTACATTGCTAAGTATATCTGTTTTTCACTTCCAAGCTTTTTCACTGTAAGCTCTTTTGAGAATTCTCAACATATTGAGATATAAGCATAAAATATTTTAGGATTTTACAGGAATCACATCATCAGCTAGCTATGGCTAGCTCCCATTTCCTAGTAAGTAGCTATTCCTTTAGCAATTAAGTACTTAAACAGACATCATTGTTTGTCATATTTGGCTAGAAAAAAAAACTCATCTTGGTATTTAAGACCAAGAAAAATCATTGAAGTGTATTTTTCTCCCCTTTTTAATTGTGGCTATATAACCATAAATTCCATCTAGCCAAGAGTCAAGGTTATATAAAAGATGCTTCATCATAGCCCACTTCAAACCATTAATATGCTAGTGTCAGAATTCTATTCATAGAATAAAAAAGCAGCAAACTGGGCTTCAGTATAAAAGTCTTCATCATGATTATTCATAATGAAATTGTCAGATGCTTTTAATGTGTAGAATCACTAGGATACAGTAGGCCCTCGTTATTTAGACAAACACTTGTATGATTATAACATTTAGTATATATAACAACCATGACATAGACATATTTTTGTTTATATATAAAAGGAAATTAGGCTCAAGGTACAATAATTATACAGTTTTTTATATGTTAAAGGTCAACATGGTATTTGACACTCATGATAGATTTGAGATAGTTTATCAAATGCATCAGAGTCTTGCAAAAATGCAAAATACCTGACATCCCTCATCCATATCCACAAGCAAACTCTTGGAAACCATAACAACCTGAAAATATTTTCAAAAATTGTCCCTAGGAGGCAGCATTGTTCCCATCGAGAACCACTGTAAGAACTGTTCCAAGGGTACAACTCTTAAGATTCTTCCTCCCTCTCTCACTTTGCTTTGCTTCTTTGATGTGTAGATCCTCTACTGCGTGGGGGATAAAAGAAAAAGGAACAGCAAATATTTTATAAATTGGATGAGTTATAACAGCTAGCTTAGCTTCTTGGGCTAAGGATCGTTTGTCTTCCCCTTCAACTCTGATTGACAGTGGATTGGGGATGGTTGGTAACTGGGCCAATAATGTGACCAAGGGCCTCTTAGGACTTTTCTACCTGAAATGAGAAGACTTAGTGCCATTTATCATCAACACTGGATTTATTTTTATGTAATTCTGGGGCATGAAAAAAATAAAGTAAAAATCAGTTCCTCTCTTTTACCATAGTTTGAAAAAGAAGAAAAAAAATCTGCTCCTACACTAGTTTGAGAGAATTGTACTGGAATGGAAAATACTATAGATTAGAAATGTCTATGTGGTAAGTTCAGCTTTCCCACATAGTTCAGCATTCATTGTGTGATTTTAATCATTAGAACTCTGCAATGCCTTTACTTCATCTGCAAAAGGGGACAGAGGGAAAAGCAGATGTTGTTATGCCTGAATTCTGTGAACTCTGGACTGCACTACCTCCCTGAACATTTGGAGTCTTCATGAAAATAATGCGCACTGTCCTTCTTTGGTTGTCTGAGTGTCCTTTAGGGAGCTGAATCCTGGGATCTCTACTCTTCAACTTTTTTTTTTTTATAAGGGAAATGTGGCATCAAATTTGCAAACTTTCTAGAATTTCTAAAACATACTTGGTTGAAATGCAGAGTTTTAAGTATTATTAAACCTGAAATCCCAGTAATTTAGAACTGAAAAATCACTTGCTAAAATAGTAAATATAGATAGTGCTTTTCCCTAGGTGAAGCTTTAGATACAGGTTAACTAACTTTACAAACATGTCTGATTCCCTTCTGTATACCAAATAGTGCACAGGGTAATAGACAGTCATGAAAATTATGAGAGGTTGAATCTCTCTTCTAAAGGTCCTAATAATTCAGTGCATCTCACAGTCGATATTTTGGAAGCAGAACTTTTGACATGGATTCTTTTCCAAATGATTTACTGCTATTGGGTTCATAGAGGAAACGTCTAAAGAAGTGAGCAAAGCAAGACAGAGCAGGAGACGACTTTACAAAAAGAGATGTTTCAGAAGTCTATCATCATGCTGCAGTTTCTGGAACTGGGAAATTTCTCTATTACAAACAAGATTTTCCAGCCAGAGGCAATGGAGACTGGTGTTAGGACTTGTTGTTTAGCATTTGCTTACACACAGATCATTCGCAGGAGCCAAACATGGCATGATCTTCCATGTGTGACCAGGTGACATGGACCCCAATAGCTAAGGAGAAAATTGTGCAGAAGGTTTGTCTACAACTGACAATCACTGCAGCTGATGTGGACCTCAAACTGGAATAGGAAACCTCAAAAGAACAAAAGCAACATCTGGATTGCATGTTGGTAAAGATGTCACTGTCATGTGAACATAGTCTAAAATATTACAAGCATAGAGCAAATGCTGCCAGATAATCCAAAATGAGGGCTCGTTCTGTTACACACTGTTACACAGTCCATACCTTCATTATCCCTCTTTATACTTCTAAACAAATCTGCAATATATATAATACTATTTCTCTTGTCTTCCAGTAAATTAAAGCATAGCCAAGTTGGTTAAGACCACACAGCTAGCAAGTACTACTGAACAGTCATGTTGCTCTCATTAATACAGCAGGGCTTCCCAAATTAGCAAAGTGATATCTTAACCCCTATCCAACATCAACTAAATCGAAATCTCTTCACTTGGGCTTATATTTTAACAAGGCATGGCTATTTCTTGTAAAAGCCTTAATAACGCAGGGTGAATACTATAACAACTGAAATGGGTCACATACACCTGGAAGTGTCAGAGTCATTATTTATGGGTATAAGAAGTCTTGAAAGTTGGAGGAAACTTATGCAAAGGACAATATAAATAAGTAAAAATAATCTGTATTTGTGAAGTTTTATAGATAGTCTAACAGCGATAAGAATGAGGTGAAAATGAAATCAAATGGGCTTTCCAGTACCAAACCATTATTGGCCTGGAAGAAATGACTTTTTATTGTCATATTATACATTAAAGAACAGAATAATAAAAATAAAGACATGAGAGACACTGGCCACAAGCATGCCCAGGACATTCTTTTTCATCTCTATGGTGGTTTATGTAGCCATTCACTTAAAAATACCCTAGCTGCCTTTTCCTAGGAAAAAAACCTGGATATTATAAGACTAGGAAGACAGAAAGTATTTCCTCAAAGGTTTTGAACATTAAAATGCCATACAAATACAAGGACATATGTTAAGCTAATTGCTGATATACTTTCATGTAGCTGTTATTCTTTGAAGTATATGTGATCCGTATATTAAGCTTCATAAAAAACATTTCCTTATAAAAAGTGGACCAGAAAGGCAAAAGAGAAAAAAATAAAGAGGTCCATAAAAGGAGGAGGTATGATGCTATTTGGCTACAGTAAATAATTTTCTGGCCATTTCATGGGAAAACCACCAGCTACCAAGCATGTTCTTTGTTCCACATGGATCCACTTGAGAAGAGAGAAGGTTAAGAGGGGGATGAATCTGTTGTCCTCATATTATGTATACTGGTAGATCAGATTCACTATGTTCCTTCTAACCTGTTAGATATTCTCATCACTTACTCTGTTCATTATGACAGTCCCATAAAATTTCTAGCTATTGTTTAGAGAAGCACTTCTAAGTAATGTAGTAGTTTAAGTCTGATTAAAAAGCTTCGTTATTTACTATATTCCATAGTATTGGTTCATACTTCAATCTATTGCTTATAAGGTATTGCTCAGAAGAAATGACCTTTTATTGTCATACTGTATCTTACAATGATTTTTTTATATAGTTCTCTTTGGTAACAGATTAAACACTGTAGCATTTTATGGAATTAACTGATACAACTCGGATACATAGTGTAAGTTTTATGGTAGAGATCTTTGACACTGGAGATGAGAGTTGAAAACTAAAAAATTTACATTGTGCAAAAGACCACTGGAAAGAGGAAACTTCAGTGTTTCAGATGATGCATGGACTAAATGGGCCCCTCCCACTAACCTACTGGCAGGTGTTGAGTCAAATGCTTGATTTAATCATATTAGTGAAGATTATGAAGAAGCTTTCAAATCCCAAGGTTAGTTAGCCATAGCAGTGGAATAGTTCAGAGGGAGCACATAAGAAAGTGGTTACTATAGCAAATTTAAAGTAAAACCAAGAACAGTTTACTTGGTAAGTTAAGATCAGAAAGAAGCAGTGGCTAGCTAGGACTGAATTGAAACGAGTCAAGGAGCTCAGTTATAGGTGCTAAAGTTCTATCTCTCCCGCAGGCCAAATATGCCAGTGATCAATATTGAGGACCTGACAGAGAAGGACAAATTGAAAATGGAAGTTGACCAGCTCAAGAAAGAGGTGACCCTGGAGCGAATGCTGGTAAGTGCTGTACTCCCTTAGACTTTATATTAGATGAGATAGCCTGTGCAGAACCGACTTAGAAAACATTCTCTGCCCTTTGTTATTTGTTCATTTATTTATATATTTATTACTAGAGGAGCACAATGTCCTTACACTGATCATAAAAAAATTCATCCAAGATTAAGAAAGTTAATTAACACAGCGTACATGCTCAATCAAAGGCTTGGAAAACTGTTGGCCTTATGCAGAGTTCAGTTTATAGTCTGTTCTAAACTAAGAATTTTTATTTTTAAAAATACTATTTTATAAAGAAAAAAGAAAGGAGGAAGGAAAGAAAAAAGAAAGGAAGGAAAAGAAGTGGAAAATATGACACAACCATATTTTAGCTAAACATTAAAAATGAAAAATGCGTACAAGTATTTTGTTTGTACTTTTCTAAATTGGTAACCTTTTTACTTGATGCAATGTTTTGAGATTTTCGACATATTGTAAGACTTTGTCCTCCCCCGTGCTGCCACGGTCAGTAATAAATGAGCACACTCTATTCTTCTGGCAAATCAATAAGACAACTTCAGGCACAACAGCTTCCTAATTCATCCTAAAAGCATCTGACGGTTCTTGGAAATGGTTACCAAGAGCTCTCGTCCATTCAAAGGAACAGAAACAGGGAAGGCACGAGGAGTTTCCACCAAACGGTGACTAACCTCCATAAACATTCTGAAAGCTCTTCATTTTAGGACAGGTTATAGAACAAATCCTCCTCACGAATGATAACAGCACAGCTTCTATTTCAAAAGATACCATTTTATCAGTACAAATGAAGAAGGGAGTGCATATTCTTTTCATACTTTGCTCAAAACTCTCATTCCCAATCAAAACTGGCTTTTTGTGTGTGATTGTAACTGTCTTAAACTCCCTGCTGCCCTTTCCACACAGCCAAAATATGTTTTGCTCCGAAGATAACATTAAACCCATAGTCAGCGTAAAAGCTTGGAAAACGTATCACAATTTAAAGTCCTTATCTTTAGAATTTTTGGAGAACAAACTTTTGGCATAAAAGAGAGAAATTTTTCCCTTCGTTTGAAATATTCAAAAGTTGTTTTATTTCTTACATATTCCAGGTTGTTGTTTTGCCGGAGGTTTAGTTGTCTTCAGGTTAAATTTATTTTGGAGTTTTTATTTTGGGTAAACATCATATAGACCCTGCTGCTCTAGCAGTTAATTTACCTCATTATTCACATCTATTCCTTCCTCTTGAAAGTTGAAGTACTTTCATATTAGACTTCAAAATTTCTGTCTCTCCGTCTGTTCTCTGTCTCTGTCTCTCTCTATGCATATCCCCACACATTTACATTCCCATACACAAATACATTGCCTAATTTTTGACAGGCTGCTAAGATGGACTATCATGGACTGGATGACTATTTATAAACAGCAGAAATCTATTTCATTTCCTCACAATTCTGGACACTGGGAAATGCAAGATCAACAGTCTGCTCCCACTTTCATAGATGACCATATTTACGCTGTGTACTTACACGGAGAAAGGGGCTAGGAAGCATTCCCGTGTCTCATAAGAACCCTAATCCTATTCATGAAGGCTCTGCTGCTATGAACTAATCACCTCCTCAAGGCTTTGCCTCTTAACAACATCACATTAAGGATTAGAATTTCAGCATATAAATTTGGGGACAATCATTCAGTCATACATATATGTATGTATGCACATAAATTTATATATACATATGTATATGTACATGTATTTATATTATATATGTCATAAACATTTTATCTGAAAAAAATCAGTATGTTGGCTAAATAAGTTATAAATTGGTTACTTGATTGCCTCTTGGAGTCCACTAAAACACCAAAACTTTATTTTATCCCTAAGTCATTACTGTAATGATGCAGATCAGTGAAAAACAAGCTGATAAATAAGAAGAATAGTTCTGTTCAGCAGGCTGTGTTCCAGAACTGAACAAATCAGCTCAAGTCCCTGACCCCTTGGAGTGTATGGCCTCTGTAGATGAGTTTGAAGGGAAGCCGCATCTTGTAGAATCAAGGACTGGTGAGGAACCATTATTCATTCCTTTTCACCGTTGCAAGTCACATTTTTTTGAGAGAGGAAATAATGGTACTTAATATCCATGCTGGTAACATCCTTAACATATTCTGGTGACTGTCTCCAGTTGTGTTGTAATCCATGGATCTGGTCTACTGTGAAGAAGCAGAGGCATAGTTTTGGGTTTTTTTTTTTTTTTTTTTTTTTTTTGTCTTTTTCGTTTTTATCGGTACCAGGGATCGAACTCACGACTGCCTGCTTCCAAGGCAGGAGTTTATGGCGCTGAGCCAAACCCCCATCCCCCAGAGGCATAGTTTGATGGAACTCTTTAGCTAGGGGTACTGTTCAGAGTGTCCAGAACAGCAGAGTGAGAACAGATTTGTGTTCTTCTGTCCTGGAAAATATGACACGGACATCTGCACTATTCTGTACAAGCTAATGAGTTGACTCTTTCTCCTTCCTCTAAAGGTATCCAAATGTTGTGAAGAAGTGAGGGATTATGTTGAAGAAAGGTCTGGTGAGGATCCACTGATAAAGGGTATCCCGGAGGACAAAAATCCCTTCAAGGAACTCAAAGGGGGCTGTGTGATTTCATAAAGAAAAGAAACAATATCTCTGGAATATCTAGAATTTTAATAACAGTATACATTTCTTCTCATGTATAATTAAAAATGTACATAAATGTTGAAATTTGCAAATGTAAACTTTTAATAAAAACTGAGCTATAATTACATGTAAATTTGTATTTCTGGAAACTTCTTTTTTTAAAAAAGTTACTGTGGCTTATGAACGAATCTCTAGTTTTCTGAGATGCCAGCACAGAGGCAGTGTTTTTGCATTTCTTCATTTCTCTTTCATTACTTATGTTACCTTTAGAATTTATACTTAAACTTATATTTTACAAGTAATTAGATTATAAATTTTATAGTCATAATTTATGATTAGACATATTTTATCAATATTTCCCTTGCTCATAGAATTAGAAAGTTTATTGCTTTGATACAAAGAGAACTTATACACGCAAGATATATACTGCAAAGAGCTTTATTCTTCTTGTCACTGATGATGTGACTTTTTCCCAGAATACAAATTGAACTAACATTTCAGTTTTGGTCACAGAGGATAGTAAATTTAACTAGTAACTAAATGAAAATTATAAGCACTGACTTAGGAGACACGGTGTTCTGGTTCTGACTCTTTATTGCCTACTTGACTGGACTTGTTTCCTAATTATTTCTAGGTCTCAGATATTTTCACTGGAGGATAAAGATGTTAATGATTCTCCTCCCAATTTTTATATGATTTAAATATTTGGTAGTGCAACTATAATATTTAGCATATTTCTTGGCACACAGTTAGACTCAGTAAGTGTTATCTAGTATCATTACTAGGAACGGAAATGGGGAAAATTTCTAGACTCTAACATCAATTTTATTCTATCCCAGCCCCTAAAAGAGCCTCACTTACACAACCTTTTCCATAGTGGGATGAGGGTGAATGATACAGAAATTGCCATTACTAACTTGCCTCTGCTTCTGTAGCAAACGACAGATGGAACTAGACCAGACAGAAACTATTTTTTGCCTGAGTTTTCTGGTTATTAACTTGAGTTTCCAGTGCTATGTTGGATACCATCGACATTGAATGCTCTCGAATGCTAATTGATTGCCATTCTTTTCAAAAACAAGTTAAAAACAAATCTATGTTTGGTCTGGGAGTTCAGGCATCCTTGCTCCTACCATAGTAAACACAACAAACGTCTGTTGATCTTGTCCAGTCCCTTCATTTTGAAACAGAAATTAAAGATTCAGAGAAGTAAATCAGAAAAGTTTCTAGATCAAGATTCTGGGTTTCTGGCTGAGCAGTCCGAAGTGCAGTCCACCACACATTTTCTATGCTTGGCATCTCAAAGAATGAACTGTGGAACCTCTTTTTTCTTGAGGAAAAATTCTTTTCCTCTTATTTAAAATTGTAAAATCCCTCTCCTCCCGCTCAAGCATTTCTTGGTCCTTTCCCCAGTCTGTTCCTGCCCACATCTGCTTCCTTTCATAGCACCCAGCACCATCAAACGCACTATATATGTCACTTATCTATTTAGTTGTGGTCTGTCCTTTAAACCTTCCATGTGTAAGTTAGTGTGTGTTAAGTGCGGGGTTCATTCTTTCATTCTGACTAAAATAAATATAGAATCTTTGCTACAGCATTTAGCAACTTGTAAACCACAGTCCTAACCAACAATTAGTTTTAGTTTTCACCTCACAAGCAGAGAGAGATTTTGGAGCCTGACGGTTCTAACTTGAAACCTTTGCTCTTCCACATTATTGAGAATTTTGGACAGGCATCTACTACTTTCTGAATAAATTCCTTTTCTTTTTCCTTACGTTTAAAATGGTGGATTTGGACAGATCTTATTTATTTACTTTTGTATTTCTTTCTTTCTTTTGGACTGAGCTTATTTAGATATTTTCATTCCAATCAGAGACAGGCATTTTAAAGGAAGCCTTAATAAATGTTCTCTATTATAAATCCTATAGAAATCTTATAGCTGACAAATAATCCTTGAAATAATATAGTATTTTCCACTTGAAATTCGTTCACATGGATCCCTCCACCTGAAATATCCCTCCACTCCATCTCACTTCAGCCTTTTGAAATCCTTCTCTTCTAAAAGTAGTTGCTACCTCACCACCTTGAATGTATGTATCTCTTAGGTTATTTAATATTGCTGTAATTTTTAGAGTTATCTTAATTTCAATGCCATATTGTTAATTTCCCTAGCCTGAAACTGTTCATCTTTGAAACTGCCATACCAACTGACAAATTATCTCTACAGTTTTACTTCATAAATATTTAACTCAATTAAGAGATAATGACAGCCCTCGTGAAATGTTTATGTAAGATAACTCAGATTTTTTTATAGATTAATACATGATGAAAGCAACAATAGGATAAAACATGGATTGTCAGCAGAACTTTGAATAAGAGAGAAATTATTGGAAGGAAGTTCAGAGGAAAAGGCCAAGAAAGGAAGGAAATGATATCATGACTGTTCCTCTGCAGGGCCGTGTCCACAGGCAGTGACTCTGTATTGTTCTGAAGTTGTTACTTCAAGGTTGGGTTACAAGGTTAAGAGGGATGACTAAGACTTCAGGGAAACAGGAAGTACTCCTGCACACACGTAAGGTTTGGCCCCTTAACAAAACTTTCTGATGTCACTGGGGAGGATGAACTACAATGCATCATTAGATATGGTTGAACTTTGATATTTTACACACACAGTCAAGTTCAAGTTTTAGCAAAAACAAAAGCAAAGCAACTCACTGTTATTTGTATTTAGCCTGATTCGATTTCAGATAGCTTTCAAAACAACGTGAATCTCAAACTTTCTAAATTCCTAAAAGTGTTATGAACATCAAGAAAACAGTTAACTGAGGAAGGGAAATGATCAATTATGTATGATGAGAATTAAAGTCTTCTAGGAATGATGTTGATAAGTAATTTTGATATTGTGGATTATACTTAGTTGTTGAAGTAACTGGTACATCAGATCCAAATTTTACTATCACCTGACTTCATCTCAAAAACAAATCTTATGTATATGGTTACATGGAATAAGCAAATTCCTCTAAATTGCCATGTGATTATCTTAACAAATTGAATCAAGTTAACAAAGAATGCATAAAATGTATTCTAGATACCTTTCTTAAAGAAATTAGCTTTTTCTTTCTAAATTAGTTTTGTTGTTTTGCTTTATGTTTTTGTTTTTTGAAACAACGCCTTGCTAAATATCCCAGACTGGCCTGGATCTTAAGATCCAAAGGTCTTAGCCTCCTGGGTGCAAGGGTTACAGGCAGTGCCATCAAGCTTGGCTCCAAAAAAATTTATCATTTTAATGACCTAAACAGTCACTGTTTACTTGATAAATTTTAGAAGAATAGAATTTGGGAGGTAATCTAGCTTATTTATACAAATGCAAAGAGGATGTGTATTTTGCAAAACTAGAAGATAAAAATAAGACAAGCTCCCTGATCTCTTTTGATTTCAAGTTGATTTTAAAGCAGCACCAATATAATTCCCTTCAATATAGTGTTTTCTACATATAAGTTTAATGACATACTTAAAAATCAGAAAAAAATAAAGAGTAAATATGGTTTTCTCCTTTTTGCATGCCAAACTAAAACTTCCATGGTCTTTCCTCTTATAATTTAAAAGTAAAAATGTTTGCTTTTATTAGGCAATTTCATTTAAACATTTGTCAAAATGCTGTGAACTTTTAATAAAAGTTAATTTCTGGTTAAGTCTGTCAGTTTTACTACAAAGTGGTTTCATACTATATTATTTTTGGAAAATGATTTTCATTAAGAGTTGTATGCAAGATTATTTGGACACCACTAATAACATTCTTATTCAAAATTTTTTATTCCGGGCTGGGCTGGAGGTAGAGCCCTTACCTAGCAGGTGTGATGGCCTGAATTGGAGCCCCACCCTCACAAAAAAGAAAAACAAAATATTTACCTAAAACTTTTGAATATTTCTGATAGAATAGTTCTTTAAGAATACATGAAAAATTGTAATACTGTTCTTCTTTGGGAAGTAAATTCAATACTTAACGATAGGAAATTATATACCCTTGTTTGAAAAAAGTTTACCCATCATTTTAGCTTTTAATACTGAAAGCAACAACAAAATATTTTTCACAATGCTATGTGCTTACAGGATTTCAGCATTTTGCAATTCATTTAGGTTAATTTACATATTACTGTGAACTTATATAATAATGCAAACTAAAAACAAGAGTAGACTGTTGCATATTTGTGTCTAATAAGCCTCATGATATCATAGAATAAATTAAAGAACCAACATGGCTATGTAAATATTTATCCCTGCATAAAACAAGATGAAAAAATTTCCAGGCCAAAGTAATTCTATTTTTATGACACAGAACAGATGTACTCACCTTAATTTACTTATCCAACTGATTTAATTTTGGTCTGGGCTTATTTTGATTTAGGCTTCATTCATACTCATTAATTTCATTCATTTGTTTAAACTATTTTTAACCAACCTTTTAAAGTTAAGAAATACGAAATGTAAGAAATAATGAATGCATTCTGGAGAATCAAGTAAGTTTGACTTGACTCACGGCTTCCTAAGAAGGGAAGAACCTTCAGCAGATGAGGCAACCTCTCTAAATCTAGGTGATTCCGGGAATTCCAAATAGAAAAAACAAACCTCCTCAATACTTTCTTTGTGAAAGTGATTTAACCTACCTGGACACTTCCTCTTCCCCCAAAATGAGACCTAACTGGAAAATAATCAGCTTTGAACACCAAAGATCAAAAGTGCCAGCCCCAAACACCTGGCTAACCTGAAGTTACAGGGACTAAGAGAATAGTTCCTAGTATTAAGGTCATGAACTCTGAGATGCTTATCTAAGGTCTCCAACTCTTCCTTAATCATTAGGAGGTTATTTTTGGAAAGAAAGAAAAATATTTCATCCTTGGGGAAGGTTTTTGGAACGTGTGTGTGTGTGTGTGTGTGTGTGTGTGTGTGTGTGTGTGTTTTCGTCTAATCTTTTGAGCTAATAACAGTGCTTTAGTTCATGAGCTCATACTCAAAGGAAAAGTTCATATCGCACATAAATGTTTCTTCCCACCAGACACTTGCTGGCTGTAGAAAGTAACAATAGAGAAGACTGTCATTTTCCAGAAAGCTGAGAATCCCAAACTGAGCAAGGACGTCACTGCCTCCATCTAGCAGAGTCAAGAGCTCAGAATCCTCCTAGGGGATGAGAGAGGAGAACTGGGCAAAACCTTCAAGATAGAGCTCACTCTTCACATCACCTTTATATCCACCAAACACTGCAAAACACAAAAGGGCAAATCAAAGCTCCTGTTCGGGATGCAAGTGATTATTTAATGACCGAGAATGCCCCTGCAGTATGAAAACACTGTTCACCCCAATCTCCTTCCCTGTCTCCCGCATTTTATAAGATTCCTTTCAGGCCTGCAGGGGTGAACACCCTGGGGGTGCTGCTGGGTATTTCTGAGATCACAGCTGCCCTTCCCTCTCCGTGGTGTTCAGCCTAAGCCTCAGGCTTGGCCACTATATAGATGGAAAACTTACGGACTGCCAAGTTTTACAACTTTTGGAAAAGTGAAGGGCTGTTATTTCCTGCTGCATAATGTCCTCCTTTCCTAGTTTCACAAACAAAACCCGGATGTGATTTGGAAAAGGGCCCCCCACACAAAATAAATCCTCCGAAATTGAGTGGCTCTTTGGGCTTGGCCCTGCCTTCCTCGCGGGGCGTCTGCACCTTTGCCCTGCCCAGCCCCGAAGGCCTCCCGGCTCGGCTCCCGGACCTGAGCGAAAGCGGGGTGCGCGAGGTCCGGCCTTCGGGCAGGGCCGGCGTGGACAGAAGTCCGCAGGAAGCCGAGCGCCGGCGGGGGAGGGAGGGCGTCACGTCCTGCCGGACCGCGGGCTGCCTGGCCGCAGTCACCTCGGGAGGCGCCCCGGGCTCCACGGCGGCCGAGGATGCCCGCCCTGCACATCGAAGATCTGCCCGAGAAGGAAAAGCTGAAGATGGAAGTGGAGCAACTTCGCAAGGAAGTCAAGCTGCAGAGACAGCAGGTAAGGGGCCGCTCAGAACCGGCCCTCTCCGAGGGGAGCAGGCCCGCGCTGCCTGCCCTTCCACCCTGGCCGGTGGTGGGTTCCGCGCAGCCCTCTGCGGAGGAGGAAGGCTCCGCACAGCCTGGGACGCGCCAGCTCAGGAGCTCCTAGGAGCTGAAGAGTGCGGGATCGGGAGGAAGGAAAGCAAAAGTCCTGACCTGAAGGACCCTGGTGGGAGCGGATGCGAAGTCCCAGTCTACTGGACGGCTGGACCTAAGCCCAGCTGCAGGAAAAAGGCAGATGGCGTGTTTTGCCTGGAGAGTCCTTCTAAAAACATATTTTAAAGTGTCACGAGGAGCTTTCAGTCTTTCCAGTGGCCTTCAGGGATGGGCTGAGACAGTTCCCTGGGGCTGGCCTGCAAAATGCTAGACTTTATTTTTTTATTTGTAGATTTCATCCCTTTATAGTAATTATCCACTTCATGTCTTCTGTGTATGCATAATGGACTCATGTTTATGAATACATGATTATATCTGTACTGAGGTGAATATAATTGCAATTTAAAAAACTTAGAGAACACTGATAGGGATTACAATTTCACTAAGAGCAGTAAGTCTGGGTATTTGGAAGTCTCCAAATGAAAGGTGACTGAGAGGTTTTGCAATTTTTGTTTCTATTTCTTACTAGTAACAGGAGCTTCCATGCATTTACTTTTGTCCTTTTTTACACAGTTCAGCAACCTTTAGTTTGGGAAAAGGCTTTTGGAGAAATGCTTTTTAAAGAAAAAGTTTTCTCCCAACGCCCTCCCCAAAATTGAACTGATTCTAATACTTGTTTAATACTTGAAAAAAATAAGAGGAACAGTAGAAACACAGCAAATACTGTAAATATGCTCCCTTGCCTTCTTTCTCTGGCTCTGTGAATGACAGGGGTCTTAGTCTTCTTGAGGAACAACTGAAAGATACAGGTTTTATAAGCTTTACTTCTTTACACAGTTATTTTCTCAAAATTAGCTTTCCATTTCCTAATTCCAAGTCCTAGCTTTTCCTACCTGTTGTCTTTTCTTTCCATGCTGAGGGTTTTGTGACTTATCAGCGTGGTGTTCAAAGGAATAAACAAAGTTACAAGACCCAGTTAATAAGCTTGTGTCTTAAAAGCGGCTCATTTTGCTAGTGGCAGAGCCCTCAATAAAGCAAATATTGGCCTTTTAGACTTTGTTTTCGGCACAATGAACCTTAGGAGTTATGTATTCATCAGAGTTGCATGTGCTAAAGTGATGCATTGCTGATGCAAAGTTGGGATATCTTAATACTTGATATCATAGTGCAGCGCTTACAGGGGAAAATTTCAAATTAGGTATTGGGCAATGTCCTGGATGCAAGTGACATCACAGAAATCAAACATCATTCCTTAACAGTTTCTCCCTGTTAACACTTTCTCCCTGCCGGCAGCGCTGTGCCTTAGAACACCCCCTGTAGCTTTTGTTTTCCAGCTCCTGACCCCTATAGTATACGGCAGAGGGAGAAAAATCTTCAGAACAGGGAGAAGTATCCAAGTCTTAATGATTTTCAAACATACATTACTATGTGCTGTGAATTAGTGCGCAGCAAACACAAACTCTTTAGAGACTTTTCCTCCTCCTTGCTTCAGAATAAAAGCCTGGCATGGTGACACATGCCTATAATTCCATTACTCTGGAGGCTGAGTCAGAAGGATCACTGGGAGTTCAAGGCCAAACTTGGCTACAAAGTGAGTTGAAGGTCAGCCTGAACTGCACAGTGAAACCCTGTCTTAAACACACACACACATACACACACACACACACACGTACACATACACACAAAACCCCAATTCACATAGAGGATGGCTAGTTTCTCACTTATGACCACAGAATAATGGGACAAATACTTAGACACACTGTTCTATCACTCAGGTGTTAACATCTGAGCTATGTTGCTGGCTCAAGTCCAGACAAATTCACAGGTTGTATCTGGCTTCAGCTAATTAATTACCAGATACATTCTCTTGTCCATGGAAGGAAAGGCATCAGAGGAGCAATCTTTCATTTTTTGGAGGTGATGGCCTCTTCAGAAACCTAATGAAAAAGACTGTCAGAATAAATACAATGTGAAGAATGTGGGTATCACCTAGAAATTTCTCTGGAGTCCCAGGCTCCAGACAGTGGATACTGGCTTCATCAGTTTTGAATTCATTCAAAATGCACACACTGTACATGTCAGCAGAATTGAGGGCAAATATTTACCCAAAAGAATGATTCTTGAAAATATTTTATTTTATAGTATTTTAAGTCAAATAATGATATCACCTATTTTTAAGCTTTAATTTATGTATTTGTTTATTTATTGTGGTATTGAATATTGGACCCATGGCCTTCACCTTGCGTTACAGTCCCAACCCCTAGTTTTTAATATTTTAAAAATTTGGTGACAGATCTCACTAAGTGGTCAAGGTGACACTTGAACCTCCAATTCTCCTGTCTCAGCCTCCCTCAGTGTTGAGATTACAGGCTTTATTAGGTCAGTGGCCTCCATACTGCTCTGCAAAGAACTGTCCTTTAGGATGTGTAAGTAAGTAGTGAAGTTTCTGTTTTTGTCTAGTTTTAAATCTCATCTCTTGATAATTACCAGTTTGTTTTATAACTATGTATGATGCATTTAACACTGTGGGCTCTGAATTTATTTTAAGTAAGTATTGAACATTTTGGGAAGCACATGCAAACATGTTTTAGTGATAACCATTAAAACAGTTGGAAGCTACCAGTCTAGATTATAAATTCAGTGATACCATTTGCCCACTTTTGATGTGCCTTGATGGCTAGAATTATATTTTTTTCTAGAATCCTTCTTTTTTTCTTTTTTCTTTCCTAGTTGAAACTTGTCTCTTAAGGATAGTTTTGGTTTTGTTTTTTCAAAAAGCTACTCAGCCCTTTTTTTGCACTGCAGTAAAAGTTTAAACTGATTGTGTAAATACAAGAATACCAGAGAAAGGTGACCAGTCTCTGATTGTGGCCACAGTCTGTCAGGAGGGAACTCTGAGCAGAGGCACAGAGGGAAGGACTGGGGCAGCTCTGGCCTTTCCAGAGTCTGGCTACTATCAATGCTTCTATGGATGTGAAATTCCAGCACTTGGGACATCCCTCAGTGCGAGCTGTCACATAACACCCTCCCTCAAATACTTGGGATTATCTGCTGCTGCACCTACCCCTTAGCATGAAGAAATGAAAGTGGAATATGTTTTATCATATAAAAATATGTTAAATATGTCATAATTGTATTTTAACAGAGGAGGAAAAATGTGAGTCTTAATGAATGGATATTGCTGGGAATGACCTATTGAACACAGTAACTTTCAAACTTTTTTTTAACTTTGACCTGTAGTAAGAAATATTCTTCACATGGATTGCATTTTATATAGAAATGGAACAGAATAAAATTATTAGCATGTGCACAGAGATAATATATCAATTTAAAAAAAACTTTAAAGCTGATTAACAGGTATAATAATTTCACAAAAAGATTCTGAGAAAGTTTGAGCATGTCAGACCTAATGCATTTTGTTCTTTTTCTTCTGTAATTTAGGTGTCTAAATGTTCTGAAGAAATAAAGAACTATATTGAAGAACGTTCTGGGGAGGATCCCCTGGTGAAGGGAATTCCAGAAGACAAGAATCCCTTCAAAGAAAAAAGCAGCTGCATTATTTCGTAAATAACTCCAAGGAGAAAATATGTCTTCAGCAGAAGAGCTCAATTTTTATATCTTCCCCAAATAAACCCTTTTAAGGAAGAAGAAATTAAACTTAATGAGACTCTCTGAAGCACTAGATGCATGGGGTTATTTGTAAAGGCATATCTGCTTTTCCTTTCATGCTCACTATACATCCTTTTAGCAGGCAGCATACATCCACTGTTGCACAATTATGGAATTAAGGATATTATCGTGCATAACTCAGCTTTTTCACTACTTTGCTTGATGCCTCAAATAAAGTTTTGTGTTGGGAAAATGAATGAAAATGAAAGCACATTTCACTCCATTAACTTTTATACTGTGCCCCATAATCTTTCAGTAGTTGGGACATCAAAAGATTAGGTGGTGCCATAGATGAGGTCTCCAATCCAGCTCTCTTTGCTCCACAGGTTTTCAGTGCTAGACTCTAACTTGGGGAATGTGTTTGCTCCAATCCTCAGATTTAGGAAAAGAGTTGGCAGAAATCCTGATAGCATCGACAGAGCCCAATGATCTGAGTCGGAGTCAGGCCGCACCATGTCTCCATGATCATTTATTTCCCTAGCATGCCATCATTTAGATCTTATCACAATGTTCCCACTGCCGTGGCTGTGGGAAAGGTCCCACCTTGGAACTAGGAAGAGAACCTTTCCTCCTTGTGGAGAGCAGTGGCTTCCAGGCTGTGCTTTTGCCCCTCAGAACTGAGGTGACTCCCTGCCAACACAGAGAGCTTAGATAGGATCAACGGTCTCCCTACCTAGTAGCTAAAATGTCCATGACAAAACTGAAAACTCTTTGTTACAATAAAAACCAAAACCACAGAAACACAGAAACATAGAAAGACCAAGACTGAAATTTGTATAATTATAATGCTGGAATGGGAGGGCAAAAACGGGCCTAAAAAACGTAGTGAGGTAAAAATGATGCATGAAAATTGAAAATTTGGTAAAATACATAAATTTATAGATTCAAGAAACTGAGCAGAGGATAAATAGGATAAACCAAAGGAAAATCACATCTGAATACATTGTGACTAAACATCTTACAACTAAAAAACAAGGAAAAAAGTGTTTTAAGAGTCAGGTAAATGTTGCATTACTTAAAAAGAAAGGAAACTTTGAATTAAGTGGGTGTTCCTCCAAAACTGTAGGGGCTGGAAGAGGTATGATATTTTTAAATGCTAAAGTAAAAGAACTATTGACATTGAAGTGTCTACTAGTAAAAATATCCTTTAGGAAAGGAGAAGAGGTGAAGACATTCTTATGTGGAGGAAAATTAAAAGAATTTGTGGCTAACATAAGCTCTCAGAACACAAAGAACATACTACCACTCGCAAAAGGGCTTGTCCCTGCAGATTGAAACACAGAAAAAAGATGAAGGGTAAAAATTGAAGCAAACCCTACAGACTTATTGTCAGCTTACATGTTGCAAAGCACAACATGCTAAAAGTAGAGCAGGGCAGTTCAAATCAGGGAGGTCCAATCTGGTGCAAAGTGTCTAATCCATGTAACTATGTGAGTGAGGAGGGGAGTACATATGCATTTGTCATTTGACAGCACACATGTATGGTGCCGTGGAATGCCAGGTCCCATTCTATGCTTACAAACACTAGTGATTTAGACAAAGGCCTTAATGTCAGGGAATTTATAACAATTATAATGAATCAGGTATATAAACGTAATATACAGAGGGATATATACTGTATCACCAATAGGAAAATGGTTTTTGAATGTTCTAATAATGATGGCAGTTTATACATAAAATGGGCTTAATATTTTCCCAGATCAGGAGTGAGCTTTTTACATAGATTATCTCATATGCACCATATGTGATAAGGTAAATAATTCAAATATTGCAACTGTAACTAGTAAACTGTGTCCTAAGCATTATGCAATGTTGCTTCTCTTACAGAACTCAATATACATGAGAAAAGAAAAGAATTATTAACGGATTTACAGAAGTTGTTTTTGGTAGCAGTGATAGCCAGTTACTATAGCCTTAGAAAAGTTTAGCCTTTGTGTTTGATGTAATGTTCTATAGTAGCTTATTTTAGTTGTTTTTGTTGATTGGTTCATTGGTTTTTCTGTAATCATGGCCTATGATGATTATAATAACTCTAGCCTGTGCCAACTGAGTGAATTTTGTTTTCAATAAAAAAATCACAACTCTAAGTTATTGTGACAGTGATGAAGTCTAATTATACATCAAACAGTTTTTGCTCATTAGTTGAATAATACAATCTTTCAGTTTAACACAAGAAGCCATCTGATGGAAGCTGTGAATGGTGGTAGATTGTTTAAAAAATATCAGACTATTAAAAAGACTTTCTTAAAGACAGAAATATTATTAAGGGATAATCTATCAGCTCAAGGGAACTGTTTACAGGTACCAAAGAATCCTTTCTAAGAAGTAATCAAATAAAATCCCTGTAAAACTTGGTTTTCTTTAATTAAGGTAGCCATGGACTCCATCTTGCCAGTTTTCCCCCTTTTCATGTAGGTAGACTCTACATCATAGGCTTGGTTTGGGAATTGCTGAGCCTGATTCTCTAAGCTGGGAACAGAAATCTTTAAATTTATACATACTCACATGTTGGCACTCAACACTATCAGGAAGCAGCTTTGAATTTTGTTTGAAAGTAAGCAGAGTAAATATATACAGACATACGTGTATTTCACAGAAGGTGTGTGTTTGCGTAAACTCCTGGCACTCTTGCACCGACAGACAGTGCATGAAAGGAAGAAAGGGGTCAATTTTGCTTTACTGAGTGTTTTGAAACGGTACAAAACCTAAACATGTCTCAGTCTAGGAGAAGAGAAACAGTGACACTTACCTTAAATAATTTAAAAACATAACCTGATATCCCTGATTTTGATATAATTCACTGATCACTTGAAATAGCTCCAAGTGCTCTGTAGTTAAGCGCTCCTTTTTATGACTGCAATTACAGGGCAGTGTGAAAAATCCCTCTGAGGAAGATACTGTCTCTGAGTGCCAACATCCACACTCACCTTTTCTCTTTTCTGTTATATGCAACTGAGTTTTCTGTTATGCACATATACATAAATTTACTATAAAAGCAAATGTAAGCTAGGAAAAGTTAATATTTGTTATCTAGATTTTTCAGTTTGGGGTAGGGAGAAAACATTTTAAAAACATTCATTTCAATTTGATTTGACAAATAAATCAAAGGCCTGTATATGTGACAATTACTAGACAAGTTTAATATTTTTTCCTACATTCTAGGGACAGGCAGTTGAAACAAAAAAAGTGACACAGTTAAATAAACAAATTTAATTGTGGGCTAACTATAAAATATGACATTTTCTCCCTTTCTTTTGGTAACATTTCATGGAAAGAGAGTCAGCAGCTTACATGAAAGGGAAAAATTTGCGGAGGATTAAATCTAAGAGAAAAAAATGTCATTTATTGAGTATATCTTGGCAGACCAAGAAGTCATTTATCAAGTTTATGTTAGAAGAATTGGGTAGATTGTCTTCGGTTTAAAAAAAAAAAAGAAGTCTGAAATACTGCTTGCAGTTACTGTTGGTAACAGACTCCCCTAAGTTCATGACTTAATACAATTTACTTGTTCTCACCAGTCTACCTGTGGGCTCGTCTGCTGGCTTCACTCAGCTGCGTTACCTAGAGGGTCAGCTGGGGTCTAGCTTTTCAGCCGGGTGTTGGCTGGAAGCTGCTGGAACAAAGCAAGTGACTAGGTCAAATGTGTTTTGTCCTTAACACACTTTCCTAGGCTTCTGCTCATGGGCTTGCAGGCCTCTAAGAAAAGGAGAGTTACAGGGTGAAAGGAATTGTAAGTTCTCAGGAAAGAACTGGCACATTATCATGTCCATTGCATTCAGCTGTTGTTTGACTCTAGTCCCACGCAGACTCAAGAGAAACAAAACCAGATGCCTCCTCGGGAGGATGTAAACATGAAGTCCTAAGGCATGAGAGAGGACAGTATGGAAACTTGGGGTTGTATTGTGACTCACCCACCTCATTGGGTAAGGATCTTGGTCTCAGTTTTAGGCTGTGGAAGCAAATCAGAGGGACCTAGGAACACATGGGAGAAGCAGCTCCGTTAGGATAACTCAAGATTTGATGTTAAAGGGAAAACAGTGGTGGCCAGGTCTTAAAGCTGGTACGTAACGCAATACAAACCGGTAACGGGGAGAATGTGAAAATTTCTGCGAGAGGAAGATCGATGTGATTACATGGCAAACCTTCACCCCTGCTGTGGCTAAGCCTAACCGCACATAGGAAGAAGAGAGCTTCCTCCTAACGTTTTGTGAACCCGATTAACAGGCGTATCCATTTCGAGGAGGCAGAAGCCTTCCAGGTCTCAATATGCTCCTTTTACGTGATAGAGTGAAAAGAACTCCTGAAGCGTGGCCACCTCTTCATGCAAAGGAACTTGCTTTTGATACAGGCAAACTTGATAGATTTCCAAGCTTACAATTCTTTTCTCAGCTCCGATCACATTGAGGGTAAAGGCTCAGTAAGCCAATTCTGCCAGTATCGCAGAAATGGATGTACTCTGCCTGTCTGCCTTTGCCCAGCTCGGCCTGCATTGCTTCCTAGTTCTGCACTTGTATTCAGTCAAAGATGACAGAGATACGAGAGATGCCCAGAGAATGCACCTTTGTTATTACATACTCCTGAGCCTGCTGTTTCTATTCTTCAGACTACTTTGTCTGGATTTAGACTTTAGAGCAGCTCCTATTAATATTTCTCTATAGGAAGCTTTTGTTTTCCCCTGTTGTTATAATGAGTTTTTCTTACTGAAGCTGAATTTTTCTCCTTAATCCTGACTAGCATTTCTGATTTCCTTTACTATGCCTCATATTTTGCTATATGTGAAAGGAAAGGACTTTTCTATACTGCTGATAAATGAGTAACACAGCCCAATTTGAAGACACACAAATCATGAGCATTACACAGCTTTGGTCCCTTTTGGTGTTGATTCTATTGCTGAATCTAGAAATAGGAGATTCTTTTTCCTTTTAAGAAGAATTTCCTAGACAGTATTGCAGAGTTCCTTTAAAAATTTTACTCAGGGTCTGGAATCTAAAATGTGTAACATTATTATGTATTTGTACAAATTTTTAAAAATGGGTGTGCATTTGTTATATATTGAAATGAATGCACCATGATATTATATATGTATTTTCTTGTAAGGAATTATAATAGTAACTAGATCAGGTTTTGCCAAAATTTTTCTCTGAAGTACCAGACAGTAAATATTTTAGCCTTTGCAAAACTACCAACTTTGTATTAACCATTTCAGTG